TTTTTAAAAATATGAAATCTTTAACATTGGTGTGTTCTCTCTGTCACCACTGAACACCTCTGGAGTGTTGCTTGGGTTTTGGGGGGAAAGAGGTGGGTAGGTAGTACTGTGGCTTGAACTCAGGCTGGTACTCTACCACTTGAGGCACACTGCTACTTCTGGCATTTTGTTGCTTAAGTGGAGATAAGAATCTCATGGAATTTTCTGCCTTTGCTGGTTTCAAATCAAGCTCCTCAGATCTCCATCTGCTTGACAGCTAGGATTACAGGCATGAAGCACAGTGCCCAGCAGCCAGATACTTCTGTTCCAGTAGCCTTTGCAAGATTAGGGACAGTATGTAATTCCAGCAGTCATCTACTTACTATCTTGAATTCTCTTGGAAAACACTGATTACTTAAATTGTGCCCCATTTCTGAGAATTGTGGGGATACCTTGTTCCTCTGTTTTCCTAGAAGTGAGCAGTTATGAATGTCCTGTGGCCATAGACTATGTCAGAGGGAAGAGACACAGCCATCCCCAGACAGCTTGGAGCTTAAGACACAGCCTCACAGGATGGATCAGCTTCTTAAGCCAAACAGGAAGTAAGGTAGGTGATGGCAGGAAGTTGTGTAAATGGAGAGGACTGCAGTGGGTAAAAGCTTTATCACAGAGGAAGGAACTTCTGCCATCTAAAATGGTGGGCAAAAAAGCAGAAAAGGTGGTCCAAGGATTGGAAAGAAAAGTTTATTTTCTCCTGCTGGCCTGTCTTCTGGGAAAACAGGGCCTTATACAGTATATATCATAAACCTTCAGAGAATATCATAAGCATGATGCCATTCCATTCCAGTGGAAATCCATTCTAATTTTTATGAGGAACTGGGAAGAGTGGCACACACATATCATCCCAGCTATTCAGGAGGCAAAAATTGGAGGTTCAAGGTTAAGAGGTTCACTCCAGGCAAGAAGTTAGTGAGATTCTATCTCAACAAAAGAGACAGGTGTGGTGGTATGCACCTGTGATCTCAGTCATACATAGGGAATCCCAGTCAGAGGCAGGTCTAGGCAAGAATGTGAGGCCCTTATCAGAAAAATAACCTAAAAGCAAAAGTTACTAAGGTGTGGGGTAAGCAGTAGAGAGCCTTGAGTTCAAATCCTTTGCTGATAAAAATATAAATGCTAGCCAGGTGCTGGTGGCTCACACTTGTAATCCTAGCTACTCAGGAGGCTGAGATCTGAGGATCTTGGTTCGAAGTCATCCCAGGCAGGAAAGTCCATGAGACTCTTATCTCCAATTAACCTCCAGAAAACCTGAAGTGGTGCTATGGCTCAAGCAGTAGAGCACTTGCCTCGAGATGAAAAGTGCAGGGACAGTGCCCAGGTCCAGAGTTCAAGCCCCACGACCGGCCAAAAATAAAAATAAAAAATAAAAATGCTCATTGCTCTTCCATCTCCACCTCTGTTACCAAAGCTTCAGGAAGAGGCTCAGAGCTTCAGAATCATAGACGATGGTGGCCCCTCTCACTTTTCATGGAGGCTTTCAGACTAAAGTTCTCATGAGTAAACAATTTCAGATGACAGGGTGAAAAACACAGACTTCAGGTTGGCCTGCCATACACCCATGACGTACTATGGAGTGCTCACATCATCTGTCCAATTGTCCTTAAGTGAAATGTAAGAACTTACGGAGCAACCTGGTAAAGATATGAGCACAGGGCACTGGTGACTTGTGCTAACACTATTCATCTACCTCAGGAGGCTTGAGATCTGCAGGGATCCCAGTTGGAAGACAACCTGGGAAGAAAGTCCATAAGACTCATCACCACAATAACCAGCAATAAAAGCTCAACTGGTGGTAGAGCATCAGCTCAAATAAGCTCAAGGACTTGAGCACAAACCTTGGTACAAATGAAAAACAAACAAGCAAATGACATATCAGGAAATGGCCTGTGTATTTAGATTAATTCCTAGCCTGCACTCCGTTGCCTTCCACCCTCCCCCACTACAAATAATGTACCATTTACGGGGATGATCCAGGTTTTGGAAGAACAGGTTTCACTCAGTAATCTCCAAGGGCTCGACAGGCTAAACATTCAATGTGAGAATTAAGGCCATTTTCTCCGTAAGCCAGAGAAAGGAAATGTTAAGGCAACGTTCCATCACTGCATGAAATTATCTATGTGCTTGTCTAGCTCCAGACTCCTCCGTAGGATGCAGTTCCCGACTTTTCTGTGGGAGCAAACTCTTTTTCCAAACCTGCATCCCACCTGACAAACCTTGTCAGGTCAATATAATGGAAAATGTCATTCCTCTCCCTCCCCATCTTTCCAACTCTGGACTGAAAGGTAACAACAGGTACTGCTTAGTCCAAAGCTGATAACAAATATCCTGAACTGGTCCTCAACCTCAAGTTCAATACTTGATATAGATGACTAAAATAGAGTTAAGGTAGAAATGAATCTGAAGGTAATCATTTTATGAACATTTAAAATAAGGGCACAGAAACTGGATGCTAGTGTCTAGGCCTATAATCCTATCTACTGAGAGAGGAGGACCATGGTTCAAAGTCAGTCTGGGCAAAAAAGTCCCTGAGACTCTTATCATTAAAAAAAAAAGGCAGAAGCGAAGCTGTGGCTCGTGTGGAAGAGTACCAGCTTTGAGCAAAAACAAAAACAAAAACAAAACTGAGTTCAAGCCCCAGTGCTAACACACAAAAAAAATGAGGACATGAGGTCAAAATGTTTGGAGTCAAATGGAATCTAGAAATGGAGCCAAATGAGCTGGAGAATAGGGGCTACCCTTAGAAAGAAATCTAATTTAGAATTCAGGACAACAGAACTTTGTAGAAGAGAAAGACAATTCATATATTTAAGTTGGCTTTTGTCCAATTGCTGTCTCCAAGTTTTGCTGAAGCCTGTTCTAAAATAGTTTTCTCTTTTATATCTATATGTATAAAGAAATTCGTGTGTGCCAAATCAAATTCCTGGCCAAACAGTTGGTTCCATGGTGAGAAATACTGAAAAGATGTAATAATAATACCAAGCAAGGTATCTTAGGCTCTACTTTCCTTTTTTTCATTCAACAAGTATGTATCTTAATGACATCTTCCAGAAACTGGACTGAGCACTAGTATCACAATGGCCAAGGTACAGACTTATTCCTCAAATTTTGGGGGGGAGGGCTTTGGAAAGCAGTAACAAGTACAGAAGCAATGACAATGAGGTGTATATGGCCATGTAGGAGATTACCACAGGACAAAGAGCTGCCTGGCCAGGCATCAGAGAACACTGGTGTGGGGGAGGGGACTGAAGAACTCAGTGAAATTAGCCAGACACAGGGGACAGGGGCGTGGGAAGGACAGTTCCTAGGAAGAGAGAACACTGTAGAATATGTCTGACAAAGCATGGCAAGAACATGAGTCTCTCTTGCTTGACCAATACTTTCATGATTTTATAGGACTGAAGAAAACTGCTCCCCTACTATGCGCATCAGTAATTCTGTGTGTTTCTGGGACTTAAGTCCCTATCAGCTATCCCCGTTCACATTTTCCTAAGGCCAGCTGGCCAATCCACAGCCATGAAATTGTCATTTGAAGTCTCATTTCTTATCCCAGAAGGTAGCTTTGTCCTAAGCCTCAAGCTTTAAGAAAACCTTACAAAACATACCAGGCAGATTAATCACCTATGAACTCACCCACTGAGTCTTAAAGTATCAGGCATCTAATGTTGGTTTGGTGAAAGAAAGACTCTGTGAACTGAAGAGATCTTCCTTAATAGTTTACCTTTATTGCTTCCCTCACCCAAATCCAAACACCAAGTCTGACTTTTAACAAGACTGCAGGCTATACGATCTAACCTAATAAGGACTTGATCTTTAATGCAAAAGTCTACACAGAGGGATAAGTTAATGACAACATTTATTCCTAATAGGGGCTGCCCTTAAAAAGAATACTGCTTTGGTGTTCTGGACAACAGAATATTGTAGAAGAGAAAGACAATTCATCTATTTAAGTTGGCTTTTGTCCAATAGTTTCAAGTTCCATTTTTCTAAGGTTGGCTAAAGCCTATTAGTCTTTCCATTTTGTATATGTCTAAAGAAAATTTGGAAAATACTATTTTGCAAAATACTTCAACAAATCCACACAGGTGAATGATTAGGTAATAATAGTGTTATTGGTTTCTGGAAATGTATGCAGCTCTTAACAAAGATGGTCATTTATAGTCACTTGGAAAGTGCTAGTGAAAAACAATACTAAGTGGTAAAGTAAAACATACAAAATTACACATGCATTATGATTGCAACTGTGCAAGAAATGCAAATATGAAAAAAATGCTGCAAAGATATCCACCAAAAGGAGAAAAGTAACGCAATGGTAAAAGCAGGAGCTGAATAATAGCTTTTAAGGCTGTTTAAACAAGGTTCAGGATGCCATCTGTTCAAGGGCAAGGTGTGCAAGTCCAGAGGCTGTGATTCTGACTTCTATGACCCTTACATGTTCTCAGCTTGGGGAGAAACTGGTTGATTTCCCATGTCTCAGTTTTTCCAGATGTTCAACAGTGATGATGACGTAAGAGTACAGGCACTTACACTTCCAAGAGCACATACCTTGTCTCTTTAATTTGAAAAAGAGTAGACTGTGTGCTATTCCCTCTGAGCAAAGTGTGACCAGTCACTTTTACTTCCACCAAGAGTTATGAATTAGATTATATGGCAGTTCACTCTTTCCAAGCAGGAAGAATAACCCAAGGCACTTATGGAATTTCCTTTCCTAAAGAATCATAACAATAGCTTAGATATACATCTGGCCTTGCAAATTCCCAAGGTGCAATGTCCAGAGACAGAGAACGAGTAAAAAAAAAATAGCTCACACACACAATACCCTGGTGTGCCCCAGCCCAGTCTCTGCAGATTTCATAGCTAGATATTGAAGAACACTTGACCTCTTCTTCCTTCTCCAACAAATCAACCTCAGAATCACATGAATCTCAGGAGAAACTTACAAAGTGGGCCCCGAAGGGACTTACCTGTACCAGGAGTTCCAGCTTCCTGTCATCCAGAAGGTGTACTTGACATCGACGGCCCTCCGTCATCTAAGAGACAAGAGACATGGTGGCCATTAAAGTGGAGAAGTGGGACAAAGGATGTGAGGGCTCCTGAGCTGGACCCCACTGGAGATAGTTGTCTGGGAGAGTTGGGTCATCAGTAACAAGAAGTGGTAGTAGTGGCACCTCATTCATTCAGAAATATTTATGGGGCAATTTCTATCCAGCCGGGGCTATTCTGAGAGCCAGATATGGAGCAGCACTTAATACTTCATGGAGCTTACATTTCCATGGAGGAGAAATAAAATAACATATGCATTTGCAATATCTTACTAAGTTATGGTAAGTGTTCTTCATATATTCATTATTCCATTCAGTAACTGCATTACCACAAGTGAGAGCGCTCAAGATCCCATCTTTGGCCCCAGATTCACAGTTTCCCTTGTTGATCAGTACCAAAGCAGAGCCCCACCCATCTTGCATCTTGGTGTTAGCCCAGCATGTCAAGAATGACCTGAGTCTATGCAGGACTGTCAGCATAAGCAGGATAGAAGTACCCACAGCCTACCTGGAACCCTATCCCTTGTGCCTTTTGAGATTTCTGTCTCTGAAGAGTGAAATAAGAAGTTGGAGCTGGGCACCGGTGGCTCATGCGTGAAATCCTAGCTACTCAGGAGGCTGAGATCTGAGGATCGCAGTTCAGAGCCAGTCTGGGCAGGAAAGTCCTTGAGACATTTATCTCCAATAAACCACCAGAAAACTGGACGTGGCGCTGTGGCTCAAGTGGTAGAGCAGTAGCCTCGAGCTGAAGAGCTGAGGGACAGTATCCAGGCCCAGAGTTCAAGCCCCATGACTGATTAAAAAAAAAAAAGCTGGCACTGGAGGAACTAAGTCCAGACTTAGCCCTGATAATTACTGGCTGGCTACAAGACTTTGGTGATTTCTAGACCCCAATCTCATAGGCAAAAACATGGGCTGGGTCTGGTGGGGTGCTAATATTTAATAACTGAATTTGTTTGATGTGTATCATTTGCTAACATTGTCCTCAAAGGAAATCCTCAGCACAGCAAGTCTCTTCAGAGATAGCAGCTAGCTGCAGCTATATGAATTATTGTCCTGCTGAAAGCCAAACACCTACATGATGTCTGCTGACAGACAGGTGACTGTTACAATGCTGACAGTATTTGCAACCCCAGGAATATAGCAACAACGCCAAGAGTACAAATTGCTCAACTGCCGTGAAATCCCGAGGAAGTAATAGGCTCTGAGTATTACTTTTGTTTTTAAAATATTGTGTATTATGCTTATATAATTTTTTTTGGGGGGTCCAGTTGTGGGGCCTGAACTCTGGGCCTGGGCGCTGTCCCTCAGCTCTTCAGCGCAAGGCTAGCGCTCTACCACTTGAGCCACAGCGCCACTTCCGGTTTTTTTCTTTTTGCTTATGTGGTGCTGAGGAATCAAACCCAGGGCCTCATGCATGCAAGGCAAGCGCTCTACCACTGAGCCACCTTCCCAGCCCCAATGCTTATATAATTTAATTTTAGGAATGGCTAAGTTTTAGATCTGGTTCCAGAAATCCCTAAAAAATGTAGTGACCAGCTCTCATGAGTTGACCTCAACAGCACTGTGTGGATCTGAAGCCCTTTTAATGTTCACCTAGTGGAATATACTGGGCTGTTCAGTATTTCCCACCATGCTATCACCCCTAGTGAGGACCAATATTTTCCCCAGAGATGAGCCATGTTAAGCAGCTGTAAATAAAGGAGAGATGCACATAGGTAGATCCATGAGACTCATCTCCAATTAACCACCAAAAAGCTGGAAATAAAGCTGTGGCTAGCCTTGAGCAAAAAAGCCTGGGCACAGTACCCAGGCTGGAGTTCAAACCCTGGAGTTCAAACTCCCGGATGGCTCAAGCACAGCTCAAGTGGTAGAACATCTGCCTAGCAAATGTGAGGCCCTGGGTTCAAACCCCAATACTTTCCCCAAACAAAAACCTCCACCAAAAATGTTAATTTCAAATTTCAGTAGGGCTGTTAATAGGAACTATATAAGTACTCGAGAGAAAAGTTCAGAGCTACAGAAATGATTCTCACTAAAAAGTTTAACAGAGTGGAAATTAGTTCAAAAAGTGGTATACACTCCCTGATTGTTAAAAGGTCTTAAAAAAAAAAGTTTATCACAGGCTTAAGAAAATTCTTTGAAGGGTGAAGAAGAAAATTTATGAAAGACATACAATGTCTTTGTATCTCTCAAACACAACACTTTGAGCTTCCTCACATGGTGGAAAGTTAAGGGTTTGTATCAGCTTTTTAGTTACTGATTCACATTCTAATAGATTTTATGAAATCAAGTTGGTATCTAAGAGACCTATTTACAGTAATGAAGCCATAGAACACCACACTCTCAAAATATTTCACAGCACATAAAGTTCAGATGTAAAAGTTGACCCTGTCGGTCTTATTTTCATGAAAAGTAAAAATGCTCATTAAAATTCAATAATACCACTTTGTCTGCCCTGTAGCTAAAGGAAGTGTATTGAGAAGCTGGTATTTATTCCTGGGGAAAAGGTAAGCCTGCCCCTCCCTCATCCATGTCTCCCTTGGAGGAAAATAAAGGAAGCCTACAAAAGACACCCCAGGAATGTCTGAATAGAGACTAGTGTTTGATTCATTGTAGTTTTGGAGGTCCACCTTCCCTTTGACAACAGGGGTGTGGGTTGTTTCTTAAAAGAGCACCTGTTTATTGTTTGAGTCCTAATTTAGACTGGAGTACCAGGTTTCCCTCATCGCTTCAGAAAAGGCGCACCGTGTGGGCGGGTACAGCCCAAAAGCAGACATCTGCAGCTTTGTGTGGCTTGCCAGGCACAGCTGAAATTTTCTCTTGAATACTAACAATTGTAAAATAGCACTGTGTTTCTTTTCTTTTCTCTCTCTTTTTTTTTTCAGCTGCGCAAGCATATTTGGATCCCCGGCATCACCCTCAAAGGAAATCCTTTGGAGAACGATGCTGTATGTACAGAGATGTCAGCTGGCTGCTATTCTAACCCTGAATTGTTTTGTACAACACAATTCTGTATCAATCACCAGCCTCCTAAAGGCTCCTGATTCTAAGGATGTGCCAGTTCTGGGGCTTGAACTCAGGGCCTGGGTGTTGTCCCTAAGCTTTTTTGCTCAAGGCTAGCACTGTAACACTTGAGTCACAGTTGCACTTCAGGATTTTTGCTGGTTAATTGGAGACGAGAGTCTCATGGCCTTTTCTGATGGGGCTGGTTTGAACCACAATCCTGAGATCTTAGCTTCCTGAATAGCTACGATTAAAGGCATGAGCCACTGGTGCCTGGCACAGAATCCTTTTGAATGTCACTTTTCTTCAAGACAGTGTAAATATTCTGAGTTGGGGAAATCTTTCTCTTCCAATACAGACTCAAATCTTCCCACTTTCCTGTGCTTCTTATTATTCCCCTTTTCTCAATATTATGTACCTTTTTCCTGTCTGCTCCTGACATTCCTTGGCTGTCCTCTCCCACTTTTCTTGCCCTTCACTTAATAATTTATGTGCCACAGTATATGTGTGTACAGAAGGATTCCAAAGGAATCATCCCAGCTCTGCTAGTTCTAACATTTGTATAGAAATGTTACAAAGTTGTATAATGGCCATACCACCATTTGAAACATCCTGAACTTAGAAAAATACACTTTTGCTTTAGAATGAAACCTAAAAATTAGGCTATCAATATGTTACTCTTTCCCCCAGTTCCCTGGGTTAATTTTCATGGGTGAAGACCCATGTATCTATCCACCCATACACACACACACACACACACACACGCACACATACCCCTAGTTACTACATGCTTACTTATTTCTTGGTACAAAGCTAAGTTACCAAATTGGGCTTCATATTCCTGTTGGAGATAATGCATGATTGAGACAGTAAAATTAAAAAATTATATATCCTAGTGACTCGTAAGAATTACCTAAAACAAAGAACGACCAATTTCAAGGCATAGTTTATTTAGAAACATTCCCAATTATCTCTAAGCAAGCTGAAATGCTATCTGTAAAAACTTGACCATCAATCAGAAAATTCAGAGGTGAAAAAAGCTATGTGAGCTAAGGCACACACACAGAAACTTGTTTCACCACCAGTCTTCCCAGTGAAGGGTCTTTAACCCAGAGGCCATCCTAAGAATGCCAGAGGCATTACTGCACAATGTGACCTTTGACCCCAGCCATTTCCTGGCTTAGAAGAAAATTCCAAGGCCATGACTACAATTTCCCTGCACTAGACATTATTGGAACTCTTTTTTTTTGGGGGGGGGGGAGAGATTGGGGGAGGTGTCACTTAAAAAGTATCACCTTGCTTTCCACACTCCAGTTACCTCCTCAGAAAGATAAAAGCCGAAGCAGCAATGTAGGAACCCAAAGTTTTAGAACAACAAACTTCAATAAAATCAAACCGTACTTCACTCACATCCAGGAACTGAATAGAAGCAACATGTCTACAGCCACCAAGAAATACAAGCTGTTGGTGAAAAGTTCAGAGACAAAGACCCGAATGACAAGTTAAAATTTATTAGAAATATATGTTTGGCAGGATGGAGGTTTAAACTTAGAGCCTTGCTGGTGCTCTTGCCACTTGAGCTGCACCTCCCGCCTAGCTCTTTGCTGGCTATTTTTGGAGTTAGAATCTCTCTGACTTTTCTGCCTGGACTGGCTCTGAGTACCTAGGATCATAGGCCTGAACCACTGGTACTAGGCTTATAGGCTCATTTTTTGAAAGTACTATGTATTAAAATCAGGTGATAAAGGCAAGGAGATTCAAGTTCTATTGGCAACAGAGGTCTTATTTAGGAAGAGGTGACATTGATCAAGATGCACTGTACTCATAAATTGACATGATGAAATGAAACCCCTCTATAAAATTACTTAAAGATGACAACAACAACAACAACAACAAGGCTGATCTTAGCCTCACTTTGCTCTACCACCTCCTCCAATTGTGCTCTCTCTGTTTTTTGTGACTCTTGGACTTAGAAGAACAAA